TAAAAAAAAAAAAAAAAAAAAAAAAAAAAGCAAAGACCTGGGAAAGTGAAAAGGCTCTAAGTTGAATTCCCAGTACCAGAGAGACAAAGAGACAGAGAGACAGAGAGACAGACAGACAGAGACAGAGAGACAGAGAGAGAGAAAGAGAGAGTGAGAGAGAAACAGAGACACAGAGACAGAGAAATAACTCCAAATTAGTACTTATACACTACTGACAGGTTATGAATTAAACCTTCAGCCCTTAAAGAATTATTATAAGATAGTATTACTCACCATCCTCATGGTCAAATCTTCCTAAAACAAAGTTGATACCAATCCATGCATAAACCCCTAAAGAAGAAATATAAAAGGCCTTGCTTAATTCTCTACTGCTATCCCATGTATACATCTCTCCCTAGGTCTACTCTCTTCTCCTTTTCTTGGGGAAAAAAAAAGTCATAGTGCTATATTTTATTCTATATTCTCAGTGCACAGATTTTAAATATTTTATGTTATGATTCCTCCCCCTTTTTTAAATTACTTGCTCAGGAGGCTGAGGCAGAAAGATTGTGAGTATGAGGCAAGCTTGGGCTATACAGCAAGTTAAAGCCTGGCCTGGAGTGAGATCCAGTCAAGTTTTAAAACAAAACATTATTTTCATCTTCTAAATTTCCTATAATGAATAAGAACAACTATAAAAACAAATGTTAAAAAGTATAAATCCTTGGGCTGGGGGTTTGGCTAAATGGTTCCGCTGCCTGCCTCAAAAGCACAAGGGCCCAATTTGATCCCCGGTACCAAGCAAACAAACAAACAAAACAAAACAAAAAAGTATAAATCCTTGAGTTTTACTTCTGGGCAAGGAAGAAGCACATTCCACCCTGTCTCCCTTGCTGGATGCAAAGAGATATTCTAGACAGAATGCATGCAGCAGCTTTGTGAGAACTCTTGTGAGTAAAAGATTTACAGGGCACACTGAGAAAGAGGCCGGAACTCACCCACAACTCAGCAGTGAGTCACATTTTTTCCCCATAGATGTTGCTTGGCCTGGGTTCAAAAGCAGCTTGAAACATGAAAGCATGCATCAGGTATAGGCAGAAATAATTTTAAGGCCTTGATTTCTTGTCCAAGGAGCACATAAAGAGAACTCCAATGGTTCAGAGAGTAGGGGGAAATCCTTTGCTTCTTTTTTCTTTTTTTGTGTCCCCTCATGCCCCTGACACTCTCACAGCAACAGAGGTGTAGGGTGGGTGGATTCCTAAAACTCAAAGAATATGAATTCTCCCTAGCCAGAGGAAACAGCAGCCTTAAATGTGTGAGGCAGATTCACACTGCTTATTTTTCTCTGTGTCCTCCTGCCACCACCTGGCCCTTGATGCAGATGAAATCAAGGAAACTTCCTGGCATAGTGGGTAAATTAAAAGCCTCATTTTCTAGGCATGATACTGTATCCTTATAATCCCAGCACTCTGGGAGGCTAAGACAGGAGGATCACAAGTTCAAGCCCAGTCTGGGCAACCTGGTGACTTAACAAGACTCTGTCTCAAAATACAAAGTAAAATGTTTTTAAAAGGTGGGTGTGAGTGTGGATGTGGCTCTGTGAGAAAGCCTTGCCTTCAACACACACACACACACCCTGCTTTTCTGACCAGAGGACCATGAAAGTAAGCTCCAAGGAACAAGAAAGTATTGAGGCTACCATGAGAATAGGGATGAACCTGTGTATGAACTTCTGGTCTCACTTCTAAGTATACATGTGTGCATCTGACCCTAACTTATATACCAAAGGTTTTGAGAATTGAACATAGGCGAGGCCACTGCCCAGACTCTATAATGGCTTACACACATGGGACAAATCCAAATACAGTAGCAGGGTCAAGGTTTTGAATAATGAACTAATAGAATCACAGCCCACAAAAGACAGGTGAGAACTTGAGTTTGACCTAATCCTTCCCTTCAAAAATGAACTGTCTTCCTATGATTTAGGACACAGAGTCTCATAATGTAATATTCAAAATGTCTAGAAGATAATATAAAATTATTTGGCATACAAAGAACCAAAAACCTCAACAAACAAGGGAAAAGACAGTTCAAAGATGCCAACCCTGAAATGACACATGTATTAGAATTATCAAAGATTTAAAGAGCTATGTAACCAAGAAATATGAGCTGTATGGCAATGAATACGTAGAGCAAAGAAACAGAATATTAAGAAGAAACTGTAATTTAAGATTTAAAAATGTAAAATTAAGGGGCCAGGGATTTAGCTCAGTGGTTCTGCCCCCTGCCGTGCAAACACAAGGTCCTAAGTTTGATCCCTGGTACCAAAAAGAAATAAAATAAATAAAATTCAAATTCAAAATGGTAAGTATTTTCCTTTCAGCATAATACAAGTAGAAGAGATAAAATCTCCTCTTTTTCTTAAGAAATAGAGCTGGGCATGGTGGTGTATGCCTGTAATCCCATCACTCAGAAGGCCGAGACAGGGAAAATCACAGAGTTCGAGCCTGAATTACACATCAAGACCATGTCTCACAAAAACCAAACCAAACCAAAATAATTGCCTAGTAGCTACAATAAAGGGAATGCTTATAACAAAACAAAACTAATGTATCTTAGTCATTCCCTGAAATTAAAGTTCCCCTTTATTTATCCTAATAATTTGATTTATACTTGAATTTGGCAAACTCAATACAACTCCTAGAACTTTATGTTTTCAAAAATATAATTAGCTAACCAAAAATCTGTTTTTGGGTTTTTTGTTTCGTTTTGTTTTGTTTGGTTTGGTGACAAGGTCTTGCTATGTGGTCCAGGCTAGTCTTGAACGCACTATGTAGCCCAGGCTGTTCTAGAACTCTTGGTGATTCTCCCATCTCAGCCTCGTGAGTGCTGGGATTACAGGCATGTGCCACATCTAGCACAAAAATCCATTCAAAATAATCATTAAATATTAATACACTCTAAAGATAGTGCTTAGTTCTAAATTAAAGCCAGATGCAGAATATACAAACCGTTTAGCAGAATCAAGAAAACTGTTCAGTAGAAATAAAACCGGGTATACAAAGTAATCCTAAACATGAAATTAGTTAAGGCAGATAGTAACTGGCTGAAAAATGACCCTGCTGCAACCCTCAAGGCCCAGTACCTTCTTGCTTCCCAGAGATCACTTCTGCCTGAGACTGAGAAAAGAGGAAGTCAAACTCCAAAGGTAAATCTTTCACTAAGTCAGCCAAGATAGCCAACTGCTTCCTGCAAAAAAGGAGAATCCAAAAGTTAATCATTAATTCTCTTCTTAGCTGGTACAATGGGGTAGGTTTGTAGTCCCAGCTACTTGCGGGGCTGAGACAGGAGGATTGGGCCAGCCAGGCAATACAGCAACTGCCTCAACTAAATGTTCTTCCACTTAGTCTTGTTATGATGTCATCACTATTCACCTACCTTTATCCACTTGCCCAGTCTGCTTCTTTCTGGTACTTTTAAAAATTTTTTTCTGTACTGGGGATTAAACCTAAGACCTTCACACTAAGATATATATCCCCAACCCTTTTTTATCTTTTCTTTTTTTAAGAGGAGGAAGAATTTGAGAAAAATAGCTTCTGTCTAAGAGAGACAGTAGAAGGTCCAAAAAGTGGATTGCCCCTATCTTTTTTATTTTGAGACAGAGTATCAGTAAGTCACTAAATTGACCGGGTTGTACTCAACTTTGCAATCCTCGTGCCTCAGCCTCCCAGACTATTGAGATTATAGGCATGTGCCAAGAGGCCCAGCTACCTCCTTTATTTTTAAAGGCTTAAACTACTTCCCAAGTACAGCTTCCAACACATAGGGCAATATACTAATACTTTTCCCTTAGATAATGTTATAACTCAAACTGTTAAAAGACGCTTCTCAGAATTATGAATAAACCACAATTATGAATAAACCACAGGAAACTGCAGCACAGTTTCACAATTATAAAATAAATCAATTACATTATTCCTAATTAGTATTAAAGATATAAATGAAGGAACACAATCTCAGCCTCAGATTCTACATAATGCAGAAACAATACCTCACATTACCACCTAAGAGGTATAGCTAGTTCACAAGTTTGTATATAATTCTTTGCCCCGGTATTAATTTTAATCTTCTTTTCCATATTGGAAGGGTTTTCTCTCTTTATAAAATCTTATCATTTGAAAAACTTATATCAGGCTCAAAATCCAAGGTTCATAATACGATATTTTCAACGTGGAGATGACTTCTGAAACTTTGTATCCTGAGTTGTTTTTCCTTTTAAAGTCTTAAGTATTTTATCAGTATTATCAATGAAAAACAAAGCAGGAAATAATAATAGGAATCTAGGAAAAACAGTCTACTGGCTCAGATAGTTGTCAGCATGGCTTAGTGAAGAATGCTATTGGCACTTAAAAGGGAAGAATCACACTAGAGGTAATACTCTTCCAATATAATGCCAGGCAGTTTCCTTTAAAAGTTCTTTGTTATATAAATTAAATTCTTACAAAACTTTCACATGGGAAACAAGATGGGCTATTCTTCTGCTCTACTGGATATGTTTCTAAACCATGCACAGGAGGTACCTGCTGGGTTTGATGATGTGAAGGAAGAACATTCAAGCACCAACCTATGTTTGTTGTTTGGAATATAAATTACCAGTACCACCTTTCTACAGAGCACTTGAGAATTGTTTCAGTTTTTTTAAATGTACTTAATATTTGATCCAGCTATCATACTTTCAAAAAGTTGTTCCAAGGAATGAAAAGAATACTGCAGCACAATTTATTTACAACAATGACAATGCCGGGAGTGGTGGTGCACACTTGTGATCCTAGCACTTGGGAGGCTGAGGCAGGAGGATCCATGCAAATTTCAAGCCAGCCTGGGCTACATAGTGAGTTCAAGGCCAGCCTGAACTACATGATGAGACCCTGCCTCAAAAAAAGAAAGAAGAGGGGGCAAACTGAAAATAACATAATAACTAGGGATTGATTAAATAATTTATGGTACAACCATACAATGTAATATGCATAGATGTTAAAAAGAAAGGAGGTGAATTTTATATCTACATGCATTGATATAAAAAAGTATTCAACACATTTTGTTGAGTTCTACTAAGTTACAAAATAGTAGTATAATGTGATCTCACTTATGCTAAAAACAAACAAAAAACTCGTGTACTGCACAAGAATAGGACGGAACTTTCATTTTCTGAAATTCAGTGGGTTTTTTTTTCTTTTTCTTCAGTGTTTTTTTTTTTCTAAACATATAATGGGAAAATCCCACGTGGTAGGCAAACACTCTTAACACCAAGTTATATAACCAGTCACACCCCCTCCCACTATGCCAGAGATCAGACTCAGGACCTTGCACTTGCCAGGCAAGCGAGATGACACTGAGGTACATCCCAGCCCTTTATTTTATTTTGAGACAGGATCTCACTAAGTTGCCCACGCTGGTCTCAAAACTGAAATCTTGGTTAGAATTACAGGCATGTGCTACCATATCCAGCTGCCTTTGTAATTTAAGGGAATTTCCATGACAAAGTGAAAGAGAAGTAGAAAAACAATTTGTTAAACCACTGCAAACAAAAAACCAAAAAACCAAGTGTTAATAAATTCAAAATACAGTCCAGGTGATTCAACCCCATATGGAATACTACTCATATATGCTAATGTAAGTCAGATTCTTCCTGTGATAGTCACAATATCAACAACTAGCTTGACCTTAGAGGCAGCAGTGATTTCACAAAGCCCAGACCAGAAGTATGCATTATTGAGAGGTGATCAGAAAACAAGCAAAAGAAAAGGGAAAAACTCTTTTGAATTCTCAAGATAAAATAAATATTAATATTCAGAGCTTCTACACTAACAGTTAACATTGTAGACAAATGAAGTAGAGCTACACAGTTGATTTAGTTTTGATATAAACTTTAACAAACAGTGGCAATACTGGGCAGTGCCAAGAGATGAGGCAATCGCCTCCTTTGCTCTAGACACAAAAGATGCCCAAGCCACTCTCCAGGTGCCTCTACCTAGTCCTGTGGCCTGGAACTACCTTTTTGACCTCTGAGTTAGCTTTTCTCTGACTTTCCCATTTCCTTGACTGTGAGATCTTTAGCTACTCAGTTTGTAATGATGGAATCCCCTCTTGAGTCACGTACTCTTCCCAGGGTCTAAAATTTTTAAAAGGATGTCAATATTACCAATGCCAAAAATAAAAATTCTAGGGCTGGGGATTTAGCTCAGTGGTACCACGCCTGCCTTGCAAGTGCAAGGTCCCGAATTCAATCCCCTGTACTTAAAAAAAAAAAAAAAAAGACCAACATATATGAGGAAATAAATAAGGAACTAGAAGGCCTATCATGTTGATAAATGGCTAAATAATCTGCTTCTCAAGAATAAACTAGAGTGTAAAACGAGCTATGCCTCTAAGTAGGACGAAAGAATTCCACTGAAAGAAATACTGATATAGGTTATATTATGTGTCCTGTGTGGCAGAAGCAGCAGGAAGCTAGGTTTTGTTGTTGCTGATAGTTTTTTCTTTCTTCTGTCTTTTTGTATTTAGGCAACACTAGGGAGAGAGCCTAGTACAATCACAGCAATGAGTGCAAACGCCAGCTCTTTTTATTTTGAGACAGGGTCTTGCTAAGTTTACTCAGTTGCCTAAATTAGGGTTGAATTTGCAGTCTTTCTGCCTCAGCCTCTTAAAGTGCTGATTCTAGGAACACACCATGACAGCCATCTGTTGTTGCTGTTTTAAGAAAAGAAAGGACAGGGGCTGGGGATTTAGCTCAGTGGTGCCACTGCCTGCCTCACAAGTGCAAGGTCCCAAGTTTGATAACTGGTACACAAAAAGAAAAGAAAAGAAAGGCCAAGTATACAAATTAAAATGTGTGGAAAAGGGAGCTGCTATTTACCAAGAGAAAATATTTAAGCTAATAAGAAATGCCTGATACCTATGACACTGTGAACATTCCCAGAAGCTAACCTCTAAATTTAAGATTGGCAATGACCTCGTTATTATGACATCGAAAGTACAGACAACAAACCCAAAAAATAAACATGTGGGATTTTTCCGCACAGCAAAGGAAACAATCAGCAGAGTGTAAAAGCACACTACAGAATGGAGGAAAATATTTGCAGCCGGGGATGTAGCTCACTGGCATCACGCTTGCCTGGCAAGTGTGAGGGCCTGAGTTAGCTCCCTGGTACAGGAAAGAAAAAAAAAATTGCAACCCACATTTAATTAGGGGTTATTCTTAAAAATATAAAATAAATTCTTACAACTCAATAGTGAAAAAAAAACTCATTTTAAAATGGTCTACGAGGGCTGGAAGTTTAGCTCAGTGGTGCCAGTGCCTGCCTGGCAAGTGCAAGGTCCTGAGTTCAATTCTTGGTTCTGCCAAAACTAAATAATTAAATATTTTTAAAAAACAGGCTATGAACTTGACACTTGACACTTTTGTCTTTCTCCAAAGACAAACTGCCAACTAGCACAGTATATGGGAAAATACTCAAGGTCACTACATCAGCAAGTGCAAATCAACACCAGTGAAATAGCATCTCACACCTGTCAGGATGGCCATTATTTAAAAACAAAACAAAAGACAAGTGTTGTCAAGGATGTGGAGAAATCAGAACCTCTGCATCCCACTGGTGGGAATGTAACATGGTATGGCAGATACGAAAAACAATATAGGGGTTCATCAAAAACTGTTTAAATGGAGGTCTGAGAATGTAGTTCAATTATAGAGTATCTGGTAGAGTGTCTGCTTAGCACATGCAAGGCTCTTGATTTAATCCCTAGCACAGAAAAAAATACTAAACATAGAACTACCATGATCTTATAGGCAACTACTCAAAAGAATTCAAGTCATGGTCTCAAAGAAATATTACCACTCCCGTGTTCACTGCAGCATCACTCACACCAGCCAACATGTGGCAACAACTTCAATGTTCATGGACAGATGGATAGGGAAATCGTGGTGCTCTACACACATACACTGGAATATTACCTAGCATGTAAAAAGCAAGACATTCTGTAATTGCAACAAAATGGAAAGATGCTGATATGCTCATTATACTAAGGGAAATAATGGGCATAGAGTTACAGCTAAGTATTGTTAATTAGTCTAGAGACAGGCTGTAGAGCACTGTACACAGAGCTAATATGCATTATACATTTTAAAATGTGGTAAGAGTGTAAATCTCATGTTAAATGTTCCTACCACAATAAAAAAAATCATAAACAAAATTCAGGGAGTTCATTCCCACCCCATGCCCACAATAAGAACAGTGGAATTCAGGGGGCTTCAAAGGGGAAATTCATATACACGGAGTGGCCTACCTAAATATAATCTCCTCTTCCTCTTTCTGAACCTCCTCCTCCTCTTTCTGAACCTCCTCCTCCTCCTTTTCTAATGGAAGATGGAAGAGCGGGTGTCAAGATCTCAGGCTGAACTGGTGTGGGCAAATGAAAAAGACTTGACTGGCTAGGGCTGAGAAAATCGGTCTTCAGCAATGAAGGCCGAGTTCCGTAGCACCAAGAGGAGGGACTCACTCATTATCACCACAGCCCAGAGAGAGCTACAGAAAGAGCAGGATTGCTAACCAATCTCTCCTGATAGATAGCCCTAGTAGGTATCCAGATCCTCAAGTGGGCTGCTCATTATCTTCTGTAATTATGTCCTCCCTCTCAGAGCCTCATAATTCAAATATAATCACACTGCTCCGCAACCTCAATCCAAATTTAGGAATTACTACAACCTAAGTAAATGACAGGGAGATATGATCAACTGACTGTGCAACAACTAGGTACAGGAGTGGCTCTTGCTTTATTTCTGAGCAAGGAATCTTTCCATGCTGCCTGTGAGCTGTGCATGGTATACCTACATCAACCTCTACACTAGGGAACCAGAGGGTGACAACACAGAATCAGTCTTTCAACCCCTGTACACCCATTTTCCTGTCTCCCAGACCCTGCGTGGCACCTCTCAGGAAGAAGCCTCATGCCTGCAGTGCAGAGGATATAAAGGGGCGTCTCCTTGTGCTTCTTCACAGGCACATGAGCAGCGGCAAAGCTCAGAAGAGGACGAAGGTAATCACTGGCATGTTCTGGAGTGTCTGACATTGCAGAGATTCCTTAAGTAAAATAAAATATTTTCTTTAAAAAGCAGGTCACAAATTCAGAAAACTGATATGCCATAGGTTCTACTTAAGGTCCAACACATTAACTAATTTGAGAGGAATGGGAGACGATAAATGATTTATCACTCTGTTATGATTTAGATCTGAAATGTCCCCAAGCCTTACATTTAGGCCTGGTAAAAAGGGGTGGATCACCGGGGGTAAGAACTGGAAGGGTATATTCCCATCCCCAGTTCTTCCCTTCTCTCTGCTTCTGCTCACCGTGCTCTGAGCTGCTTTCCTCCACCACACTGTTCTGCCATGTTGTGAATACTTTGGAGCCAACGAAGCATAGAATGAACCTACTCAAACTATGAGCCAAAATAAACCTTTCCTTCTTCAAGTTGTAGGTGTTGGACGTTTTGTTCCAGTAACGGGAAAGCTATATCCTCCTCCCACCACTCAGACTCCCCTAAAGAAAAGGATAATTTTCTTTCTCTCCCTTTTCTTCTCTCCTCTCATCCTTTAGCAGATAAAAGAGTTCACAACAAGATACTGTACATCCTGATTAGTACCTGGTTTGATTTTTTTAACCACAGGTTGGCTGTTGCGGTCTCTCATCTGTTTGATGTCCAGCAAGTCGTGAGGGTTCCCATTATGCCTTGGCCAGAAATAAACAAAAATCCTGGAGCCACTGCTACCACAGTCTATCACGAGGCCATAATTCAGACTTGGGTCTTCCGTGTCAGTAGCTTCAAGCTCCCCTACCCGAGCCAAATACCTAAAACAAGGCAAAAAAGAGAAATCAAGCAGGCACGTGAAGGCATCATCATTTACTTCATTGGTTCATGAGCCTTTCCTTATAACTTATATGTGCCAAACACACGTAGTTCTAATAAAGTCCTAACAAAGGAAAAACAAAAACACACTGGCTATATTTACTGCCACACATTAGGTAACCGCTGGTTGGCTTGACTGAAGACCAATGCAAGCAAATAAATACATGTTCGGGACAGTTTTGAAACTGGCTAGGCTAACAAATCTTACCGAGTATTAAAGAGTTTGTGAGCTTGAATAAATTACTGGGTTATGCTGTTGTAAGCCACCAAGTTCTGGGTGGTCTGTTAAACTAGACAACTATGATAATTATTTCTTTTGTATTTTCCTATCCTTTCTATACATAAACAATATGTAGGATGATTCTCACTTAACGTGGCTGTTTTGTTTTTGGTATTGGGGATCGAACTCTGGACCAATGTGGCTATCTGAATGGTATTTTTAACTGTATTGGGGGCAAGATTGTTCTGTGCTTTATGTTAGAATTACATTAATAAAAATGTATTTCATAAAAATATTTTTTTCAAACATTTTGTATGGCCTGGAGTTGTAGTTCAGTGTCAGAGCACTTGTCTAGCATTTATGATGTCCTGAGTTTGACCTGAGCAATAAAAGAGAATAAAATATTTTATAGATGTAAAAAGAATATTTATAAAACATATATGATATAAAAAATAACAATAAAACAAATGGCAATGTACCCATCACCCATCTTAAAAATAAAACATTACACAATTTAAAGAAAAAAATGCTTCTAGGCCCTAAGACATCAGTATTTTCTGTTGAGATTTTTATTTCAGATTCTCATTCCAGGATCTATGGTTCTTGGAAGATGAAACAAGTGAAAGTGTTACCATCAAACACATCAAGGTTTTGAGTCTCAGCTCTATCACATTCAGCAAGTTTCTTAACTTCTCTTAGAGAGTTACTTCATCTGTAAAATAGGAGAGTTAAGAGTATCTACTGTAGCCTGAGTGGTGCAGTGTTTGCCTAGCATGTACAAGGCCCAGGGTTTCATCCCCAGCATGACAAAAAGAAAGTTATTTATCCTCAGAAAGAGAATATATGTCAGTGAGTTAAGCAGTTCTGTGCTACCACTGTTGCTAAGATAAATATTAGGAGAGCAAATAGGAGACTCTGAAGGAAAAGTCTGAAAGTCTAGAAATAAGAACTAATTCATATCATGTAAAGGTACAAGATCCCAATGATAAATGTAACTATATTACTTGCTATAAATGGACCAATAAACTCAATGGGGGAAAAAAAAGAGAAGATGAATGGCCCTACCTCTAACATTAAAAAGGAAAAGAAAGAAAAAAGGCTAAGAGTTGGTAAAATGCTTCAGAGCATCAAGATTTTAACATTAAAATTCATCAGTACCTGGAAAGAGGGCATAACTTCATGGTACACAGACTATAATTTTATCTTCTAAATTCCTTGAGATGTGAGTAAGTGTTACTATAGAATGAGATAATAATTGGTTGGATAAATCCTGTGAAAGGTATGCTGTGAGTTTTTCAAGTGCTATAGCTAAATTCCCTTTCCGATATCCACCTTCTTCCTCCAACATTTTCTTTAGTTAGCTCCTAGATCTCCAAGGGCCTTACAAAGAACCCTTAAGAACCAGATTTTTTGAAACCTGAAACTAACACAATGTGGAAAGCATCTTTAAAAAAAATTAAAATACAAAAGGCAAGTGAAGGGCCTTGAAGTATAGATACTATGAGTTTCTTGTAAATCAGTGTCCAATCTGAACACTAAATCATAAGTCGCATCCTTCAAACCAATTTAGTCTATGTTTATTCATGATTTCACATTGCTTTGCATACTACTGAGTTTCTTGCTTTGGACACAAAAGCAAACTTAATGAAAAGAAGAGCACTTAGGAATAGTTCTGAAATCAAAAAGTAGAACTGCATATCTATCCTGCAAATATCTACAGTGCAAATGCATTAAAAAATATATTTATCCTTTAACATAATACCATAAATGATTGCATAAGACAGATGCATATATAATTTTTTTTTTTATCTGAAACAGCAGCAAGTTAAGGGAAATGAAGTAGGTGGCAAAAATCTGACACACTAGAAAAATTCACAAACCTGAAGCTTCTGCCTCACCTTGTATCTACTCTAATCAAACTACTGGGCTGATGTGGGTTCAGAATTCACCAGTCAACTCATAAAAGCTCACTATCATCACATGAAAGCGGACAGGAGTCTATGTTCAAGCTACAGAATTCTTGCAAATACTGACAAATGGAAAAAAAACAAAAACAGGCAAGCTCAAAAGGGGCTTTTCATTTCCCATCACAGCACTCTTTTCACTTCACATGCTTTACAGATCTTTCCCTGTTCCCTTCTCTGAAAATCACCCTTTTCTACTTCTCTTTGACAAATTCTAGATGCCACCCCTTCCTGCTTATTGAGTAATTATCCTTAGTGCACTGGGTCTCCAACTTTGTGCCTCAGAACTCCTTTATATACTTAAAAATTACTCGAACCCCAAGAGCTTTGTGTACATGAGTTACATCTATCTATATTTAGTATATTACAAAACAGAAAAGCTTTAACTATTAATTCATTTAGCTGAAATAATAAATTCTTCATCCATTAACATAATATACTTATATACAGAAGCTGTATTTTTGCACTGGGTGTGGTGGTACACGCACATAATCTGAGCACTCTGGGAGGCTAAGTCAGGAAGATCAAAAGTTCAAGACCAGCCATGAAACTTAGGGAATTAGTGAGACCCTGACTCAAGATTTTAAAACACTAAGGACTTTTTATACCTCGGCTGATTTAACTTGGGGCTTTTTCATACATACTAGGCAGGCACTCATCACTGAGCTACACACCTGCCTCCTTTTTAAAATTTTGAGACAGAGTTTCACAAAGTCTTGGTGGTCTCAAACTTGCAATCCTACCTCAGCCTCTCAAGAAGCTGGAATTATAGGCAAGGACACTGTGTCCAACTATCTTATACTTTTGAATGGCTTTTACCTAGACATAATTTTGTAACATCATGTATTGGAAAACATTGATTCATTGAATTATGCAAATCTACCAAACACTGACACATTTCATACTACAATATTAAAAAATACTCATTATACCACTAATCCTACTAAAAAAAAATATTTCAAGTATCAGAAAGCTGTCAAATTCACAGTTGCAAGGACAAGCTTTCCAAAATTCTAACTTTCACCTGGAAGTTCAAATTGTATCAAGATAAGTTTTTTCTTTGAAGTAACAGATTTAGTTCATTAATTTTCAAGAAAATGTACATCAAGTACCCAAGCCTAAAAACTAGCTTTTCTGGCCATTCTTTTTTCAAGTAAAAATACTGCTCCATGATAAAGCAGCTATGTTTAGTTCATAACTCAATTATCTAAGCACTCTTCCGCAACACACCTTTAGAATGCAACAGAGTACTATCACAAAGGATATTAAGTAGAACTGCTTATTTTTTGTCCCCAGTGCAACTATGTGACAATGAAAGCTATAGTAATAACTCATCCAGTGTGGTACCTCTATCCTGATTTGTGCAGAAGCACCAGAGGTTTTACTCAATATTGCTCTTGTACTGTTAGAGCAAATGTCAACTCAGTGAACTAGGCAAATAACATCACAAAAGTTAAGAGATGGAAGCAACCCACACTGATTTTTAAAAATCTGAACCAGGTGGTATTATACTCCTGTAATCCAGCTGCTTGGAAGGTTGAAGTAAGGAGATCACAATTTTGAGACAAGTTTAAGCACGAGAGGGGCCTCTGGCTTCTAGCCCCTGTGCTGGAAAAATAAACAAATGAATAAATAAATGGTGTGTGGGGTGTGTGTGTGTGTGTGTGTGAAGAAATACTTGTCAGCTTTCAAAAGCAGGAAATCCTGCCACATGCTTCTACATGGACAAACCTTCAGAACATTATGCCAAGGACTTTCCACATGCCAAAAATTAAAACTAGACCCCCATATCTCTCACCATGCACTAAACTAAAATCAAAATGGACTGGAGATATAAATATTACACCAGAAACACTTTATCTGTTGGAAGATAGCACAGGTAAAACTCTTGCAGATATGGTGTAGGCAAACACTTTATGAACAATACCAAACCACACAGGAAATCCAACAAGGAATGAACATCTTGGATCACATCATACTACAAAGCTTTTGTGACTGGGGATTTGGCTCAGCAGCAAAGCGCCTGACCAGCAATCGCAAGGTCCTGAGTTCGATCCCCAGTACCAAAAAAAAAAAGCTTTTGCACAGCAAAAGAAACCACCAATAGAGTGAAGAGGCAACTCACAGAATGGAAAAAAAATTTTACCACCTATTCTTCAAACAAAGAGCCAAGCAGGGGTATGGGGAAAAAATAAGAACCAAGCCCTGTCATGTAAAGGTACAAGATCCCAATGATGAATGTAACTGTACTGTATTCCTAAAAAGTACCAATAAACTCAATGAAAAGAAAGAGCTAATATTAGAATATATAAAGAATTTTTAAAAGTCAGATCCCCCCACCAATTTAAAGACCCAAGCCAAAAATGGGCTTCTGAAATGAACAGACATTTCTCAGATGAAGAAGTCCAAACAAATAAATATATGAAAAAATGTTCCACATCACTGGTCACCAGAGAGATTCAAATTAAAACAACTCTGAGATTCTCATTCCAGGAAGAAAGGCCATTATTAAGAAATCAACCAATAACTAATGATGGCAAGGCTATGAGGGAAAGGAAGCCTTCTCCACTGAGAGTGGGAGTGTAAACTGGTACAACCACTATGAAAATCAGAATGAAGATTCCTCAAAAAACTAAAATCAGAGGTTCCATTTGACCCAGCTATTCCCCTTCTGGGTATCTTCCCAAAAGAATTAAAAGCATCATACCACAGCAATATATGCACAACCATATTTATAGCAGCACGACTTGTAATAGCT